AAAAGGGAGCATGATTGTTGAAAGCCTGGTGAAGTGCTGATAGGTTCAGACAAGGTTCTTTGGGTAGATGTGATATCTTTTATTAGTTGGACAACAGTTTCCAACTATTTCAACTAGAAATAGTTGGGAAAATTGTTCTTTGCAAGCTTTCAGCACAAACACCTTTCTTCAGGCAAAGGGAGAGTCTGTTGTTGTTTTGTGTGCTCTCCTGGGTAGAATAGAAGCCACAATGCAGGTCTGTGAAAATGCAAATGTGTAGCAGTGAGGATCAGAGGGGTGGAAGACAATAGGTGCGAGACAGGAGGGTTGCACTGCTCCCAGAGCAGCTACAGTGGCATGCAAAGCCCAGCATGCACAGGCAGCCGCCTCCACCCTGAGCACAGATTGGGGTGGGGGGGTACATGCCCCCTAGGCCTCCAGCGGGGTGCATACAGTGGCAGGAGCTCCCCTCCCGCCCCATGCCCCTGGACAAGCCACCCAGGCTCCAATTGTCCCACAACCCAGCCTGGCCAAGGCCCCATTCACCCCAGCCCCTGCTGATGTCTGTGCCCCGCTCCCTCCCGCACCTCAGGGGCCTCTATCTGCCCCCTCCCCCTGCCCCCCCCAGCCCTTTCGTCTCCCCCAGACTTACCTGCTGGGGTGGGGTGGGGCGTGTGCACACATGCATTCAGCCCCCCCCCCAAATAATTTTAATATAAAGGGGTACATGAGCTGAAACTTTGGGACAGAAGGGGTACACTTGTTAAAATAGGTTGAAAACCCCTGAGATAATCATTCAGGAGCTGAATCACTTAGACAACCCATTTACAAATGCTAGGGTGTTTAAGGTCCCTCCATCACTTATTTCATGGCAGCATCAGCAAGAGGTTGTGTCTTTGTGATTTTACATGACTGTATCATTGCAGCAGTTTCATGTGCGGATGTATGATCTGTTGTGATGCAATCCATGGGGCAGTTAACATAGGACATAATGGGTAGTTTGTCTGAGCTGCTAGGTGAGACCTTTTGAAAACAGTATCAGTTTAGATACCCTACTAAGGAATATGTTTATTTTAAAATATAGTAACATGTCTACTGCCACCTACAATAGCATCATCATCATAGCTACACTGCATGCCAGAGCCACTCAGACATTCCAGGACCAGGAAGCATGGTGCTAAAATACTTCTTTCCTGAAATTCATGCTCTTACAGCTTGAATTATGAGAGGAAATATCTTAATTGTCAGTAGTACAGGGCATATGACCCACTGTTCAAAAGTTCTGATTGTAGACAGGAGAGGGTTATGGGAGACTGACACCCCAGTCAGTATTTCACAAAAAATAGAGTAGATAGCGCATACGCGGGCATGTTTCCCTGACAGCATTTTATAACAAGAATTGTGCTTTAGGGAAAAAGAAAACATTGCCATCTATATATGAGTCACATTTATGAAGTAACCACAATCTCTCCTCCTCCTCTTGGAGGCAAAGGAAGCAATTCCTTCTCTTTCCCCATTTATCTTATTTCTCTACGTCCTTCCTGAGCTGTATTAAGGAAATGGAAATGTAGTGTTTCATATGTTCAAGGAGCTCACTTACAAAATAGGCCTTAAAATGAGGAAGCATAAAGTGTTTTACTAATGGACAACAGGAATTTCTACTATCTATAGCTTTGAGCTTTGGAATCGTTTTTCTTCTTGGATCTGTTTCTTTTTTTAAACCAATTAGTTAGAATTTGGCATTGGCACTGCCTGAAAGATTATCTACTATTGAAAAGCATATTTGAATTAAGTAGGCCAGCAAAAGCAAACAGCTTTATCAGCCTTGCACTCAGCTGGTTTAAAGAAACTGGCACTCCTTTTGAAAGCTACATGTCTCTTCCTTATCTCTGGGACACAGATCCTGGGCCTTTTAGCTTTCACAATAGTATTTCAGTATATGGTACAGCACCACAACAGTTTGGAAAGGGAAAACTTGAGAAGGGCAAGAGAGATCTTGCAATACCTGATCTCAGCAATGCAGCACTTGTGTCAGGTCAGAACACTATTTTCTAAATCAAGTATTACCTGTGTTTTTCAACAATGATTTAGAAAATTGAACTACAAATCCAGGATTAGCACATTTTAAAAAGTATTTCCCCAATCAAATTACATGGCAGAGTCTGATCTATATTTATCGTTTTCAAGGATTAAATGCTATTTAGCAAGCTTCACCAGATAATTATTAATATATTAACATTTGAAAGTCCATTTCCCATGGGCCAGGGGAAAAGGATCTGTTACACTGTTAACCTATTTTAGTAATTTCATTACTTCCACTGCAATCTAGAAGAAGAAATAAATACCAGATGATAACATTTTTTGCTACAAAGGGTAATCTTGTATCTATTTGAAACCAACCATTCTACCGGTTCAGCTTTGTTTAAAGAGACGTATGATTTTTATTAAACTTTGTGTAAGGATTCTGGGCTGAATGTAGAAGAAGAAATCTGTAAAGACTGTGAAATAGTTAACCAACTACTACTGGTTAATATACTGGGCAAACTTTGCTTTTGTTCTCCTATATAACAGTGTCAGGATCTATAATGAGAATATTATCACTCCATCTTATCTCCTAATTCTTCCCTTTGTGTTCATTTTGTCCAAGTTGGCAAAGGCAGCCATAAATTACATCTCCCTGCACCTGGCTTCAAAAGGAGACCTACTTTTGAGGGTAAGTCTCCTATTTTGCAAGGCAACCATCTTCCCTCACAACTTCTGCTCTACAGGAGAAAGTTTCAGCTGCAGTCAGGTGTCATTAGCATCTACAATGAGAAGGGAATCTAAAGAACATGGCTATTTCCTTTCCCCATAGTCTCCTTCATGGAAGGTGGTCACAGTCTGTGCATGTGGTAGCAAACCTCTACCAGGCAGGTGATCAATCATATAGAAGTCAAAGAGTATCACAGCCAAAATGAACCCCCAAGAGATGTGAGCTCAGTAAAGGTCAACATTCACTTTCCCACTGAGATTCTTTGCTGGGTCTACACTATACAGGAAAAGACCTCACATCCAAAATTACCTAGCAGGGACTTCGGATTATAACGCACTTTGGCCTTGATTTAGTAACATACTTAAGCATGACCCTAGTTCCAAACATGTGAACCATTCTATCAATTCAGCTGGGCCACTTGTGTGCCTAATGTTATATATAGGCTTAAGTACTATGCTAAACTGGGCCTTTCATGAATAAATACTCCTTCTCAATCCACTTACCTCTCATCTCCTCCTAGTCCAGCTAGTACAATCCATATAGACCCAGCGAGCAACATCCTTGTGAAAGAAAATTAAGGAAATCCCCTATGTCCAGGTATGGGGGGAGGGGGGGAAGGGCTGTTGAGAGGGAATTGTATTAACCTTGAATTTAAATGAGATAAAAGTCATAGGGTGCCTGTACATGAGCCTGGTGGCTGCTCCAATGCGCTGTAATTACAGCACCTCAGAGCAGACTCAATTAATCGAGTCTGCTGGAGTGTGGTAATTACTTTGCTCCAGCCAGCCTCTGTATCTCATGTATCAGCGTCCCCACACTTCAAAATGGCAGCAACAATACGGATACATGACATACTCTGGGTGCTTTAATTAAAGCATCCTCCCACCCAGTCTTGGAACAGGTATAAAAACAGCCATAAATGTTTAAAGGGAAAAAATCCCACAGGGCAGGTCAACCATAGGAAGGGAGGCAAGGTTTTCACAATGAGATGGCTAATTCAAGTTTAGGTCTCTCTCAATGCCAGTGGAGAATGAGGCACAAGATAAAATTATCTGTATATAGCCAGTCATGGAAAACCCCTAAACTCCCCCATACCATTACCTTGACCAGCTACACTGAGGTGAAATTAACCTGTCTTGGGTATCAGAAGATTTTACAAAGTGGCTAAATCATTTAAAAACACACACTTTTCCTAGTAAAGATATTGTCTACAAGGAGATAGAACCCTCGTCTCAAATGTATTCATAGTTATTAGAATTTCATGGTTAAGTTTTTCATTCCACAACAAAGCCAAAAGTATGGCAATAAACTCAAGTTCTCCAGGTACCCTTTATTTTTCCCCAGTATTGATAACAGCTAGAGTTTAGATGCTACTGGGGCCACAAAATCAAATGCTGGGCCAGTTCATCAAGGGTTCTCAGACTGAGAACATAGTTTACAAGACTAAGCTATCTTTAATCTTTCAAGTGACTGCATAAGATATCTAATAAATCTGCAGTTACACTGCAACTTGACAGGGCTCCTGGCTTCTGTGCAAATCAAACTTCATCTATCAACAATCAATATATAGAGAAGAAATTAGAAGCATTGTTTCTTCACATTCATGGGGGAAGGAAATAGGAGAATTCTCTACGCCCTCTGGCTTTTTTCTTTCCTGACCAAAATCGCCTGGATCTTAATCAGGCTTCAACTGACTTGCCTGAGGGCATTAAATGACACCTTTTCTATTTGAATCAGCTGGAACAAAAAATTAGTGAACTTTCCAGAGATAATTAAATCAAGTCTGACTGCCCAGGAAGCAAGCTCCTTTTCTCCAAAATACGTCACCTGGGAATTCCTTATCACTACGATAGTGCAGTCTGGTTTCAAAGGTACTCAAGAATCAATCTGTAGGAGAAGTTTGCCTAAAACCAGGAGATCACTGCAGCTCTCTTGAAGAGGAACTCTAGAGACTGATGTAATATAACAAAGCTGATTACAGGTAATTTTTAAATCATCTTTATCTTACCTCTAACTCAGCACCTACTTAGATTAACTTTTACCAAGTTAAGACTAACTCAACCTTTCTGATATTGTGCTATTTTGATGCAACTCTTCCTGCTTCCAGTAAATTTTGCTTAATAAGAATCATTAAGTCAGATTGCATGTTGTGTGAGACACTTGGTCTGTTCAAAGATCAAAATAAGTTTTTGACTACTCCATGAGTCAAAGAGAATTTGAAGAACAATTTGTTATACACTAATTGCTAAAGGTGTATCAGTTTTCTACTATAAATGCTGCTGGATTAACAAATTATAACAAACCTGTTTACAGGGACTAATCTGTTAGACACCAAATCCTAAATTGCTCAAGGTACTTGATAAGAACCAAGGATAACATGGGGTGGGAAATCATGAGTTTAATAGAAGAGATGCATACATAATGCCAGCGTGCTGTATCCAACTTTGGGACAATAGCTGAGATCCAAACTCGTTAGCAATTAAAAAATGTGTGTGTTCACTATTGTGCTATGCATTTATTTAGCTTTCACTCTAGTAGTATCTGAACAACTCATAAAAGTGTATGTATTAGGCCTCCTGAGAAGGAATAGTTTGTCCTCCAGAGAGCGTGAAAAGATGCAGACTTCAAGGCTCAGCTCCAGAAAAGAAGGCATAAGCAGCTGAAGTAGAACACGAGCACCTCAGTGTACATAGGTCTACAACTACTCTCCTGAAAGCTCCCGCTTGACCTGGTAAGTATCCTCCAAGCCCACTGAATGCTTGCTGTTAGAATTAAGCTTCCTACAAAATGGAGTTGTGGCCACCACTTGCTGTTAAAGCACAACCAAAGGAGGAAGAGGTGATTAGTGGTTAGTACACTTGTCTAACATGCCCTATTTGGACATGAGCCAGGTTATATATCAGCCAAGACGCTGCTCTGACACTGTAATTATAGCACATCACAGGAGACTCAGTTAATCAAGTCTGCTGGAGTGTGGTAATTACCATGCTGCAGCTAGCCTCCACGTCTCATGTATCAGCATCCCTGCACTTCAAAATGGTGGCAGGGATGCTTTATCTAGAGCTCATTCAATGAGCTTTAGATAAACCACCCCCACTGCTATTTTAAAGCATGGGGATGTTGATACACGAGATGCTCCAGGCACTTCAATTAGAGTGACTCTCAGAGCTGCTCTAATTAAAGCAGCCTGCCGTCCCTTGGAGCACCCCTCAGGTTTAATTTCCTCCTCTAACTGAGAGGTTTTAAATCTCTCTCTCTCTCTCTCTCATCCCAGAAGAGTACCATAAATACTGAGAATGTAAGCTTGGCTTCTGAGGTAGGGATAGGGGAAAGGATAAGGGGGTAAGTTCTGGCCTCCTGTTGAAATCATTCTACTGTGCAGCAAAATGCAAAATTCATGGGGTCAGAGAGGGAACATAAGGGAACCTGTCACTGAACCTTAGTGCAGAGTTTGACTACAGTCCAGAGAGGCAGTTTATCTGGCCTGCGCAACCAAGGAGCTTCTGCAGTATTTTGGCAGTGGAGGGCTTCTTCCAGGCAGTGGGGAAAAGTAGCACCACTACTAGAGGTGTGGTGGGGCAGAGGGGGCCAGTGGTTGTGGTTCCAGCTCAAGAGGCAGTGCAGGCTGGGTTGGTAGTGGCTCAAACTCAGACCTAAGCTCTGTTAATGTGCCACCCCTGCTGCAACCTGGCCTAGGGGCACTTGCTTTGGAGTGGAGAGGATTCCTGGAGTCTGGCCCCTGCTTCAGCTACCCAATAGCTATTTAGTGTACAATACAGAAACAGTATTGGCAGCTGCCCTGTAAGGCAAATGCCATAACTGAAAGCCTACAGAGTCAGGCTAACTCTTTTATCATCTTTCTGGCTCCACAAATCTTGAATTCTTTATTGATGAGTGAAACAATTTTAGCAGGCAAGTGCTCCTGCTCCAGAACTGCTAACAGTCTCATGGTTAGGAAGTTGGGACATGTTGGTTGGAATCCTTTCAGAAAGAATTGAAATTACATCTACTTCCTGAACAAGTGCTTTACCCACTAAGCCATTGCATAAGGAGGACCTCCTCCTCCTCTGTGTGTATCTTAAGAGATAAAAGGAAGGATGTAGGCACTGACCTTCAGTAGGATTCTGAGCTGTGGATCCACAGTAGGTGGAGTTGCTTGCCAGTACTTGTGTGAAACACCCAGACGGGGCTAACAGTTGAGATTAAACTCCCTCCTCAGGATTTCCTTGTGGCTATAGGCAGCTCTTTATTCTGCTTGCTGGTTGTTTTGGAATCCAGTCCAAAACAGTGAACTCTTTTCCCAATCCCAATTTGTAGGCATCTGAGTCTTTTACTGGATCTAGCCCTACAGTTACTTGTCCAAAGTTATACAGCAAGCCTACATCAGTCCCTAATAATGAGAACCTGAGCTCAGGTCAGTCATGTAATTGCGGGACCATCAGCTTGTGCTCTAAGGACTGTCCTACATGACATCTTGCAAAACAAACTTTAAAGGAATTTGGGACAGAATTAGTGAAAGGAACACCAGAGCAGGGCTGAAATTGCTTGGTTGACCTGAACTTCATAGTTCTGCATTTCCTACATTATGGCTGTTCCTTTTAAAAAGGGAAGTTCAATTTCTAGCTTCAGCTTTTTGTGGTTATGTTTGAAACTATGTTAAGGGTTTCCTAATGCATTCTTTTTTAAGTTTCAGCAAAAATAATTCAGTTGTTTAGGTGAACAAAGTAAGGGGAACACTGTTCTGCTGGAGGGAGGGAAGAATCTTACCACTGTTTAATTGTAAGGCTCCCACACCTATATGCTTGGAGACTTGCCTGAAGCCAGACAGGTGACTTTTTACCACCTCTGTTAAAATTCACTGAACTGTAAATCTCTGAAAATGACTGCTAGCGCATTTTCCTTAGAGACTGGCAACCACTTTCACCTCTGCCAAGCAGAATGCAATTTCTTCTCCTAACTGCCAAGCCAGTGAAACTGTGAGCTGGGAAAAGCCTTTCTGAGCAATCGGTATGCCCTTGCTATGCCCAGACAGAATAGAAGAGAAGAGCAATATAACTTGAAAGCAGAAGGATGAGGAATAAGGACAGAAGTAGAGTGGGAGGTGAGCAGGGGGACAGAGACAAGAATGCAAAGATTAATCTAGTCCAGCAACCTGTCTCTGGCAGCAGCAAGGAATGGATGCTTTAGAGCAGTGGTGCTCTCAACCTTCTTTCCTGGTGGGCTCGATAGACAGTGCCGAGTCGCTCAGCAGGCCAGATCCAGCCCATGACCCCAATCTGGTGCCTGGGATGGGTTTATTGGGGTCCCATCCAGTTGCACAGAGTGGGGCGGGGGAGGGCAGCTGGGCCCCAATTCAGGGAGGGAAGGGGGCATGGCCCAGCCTCTGTGGGGGATGGGAGGGTAGGCACGGTCCAGCTTTAACCCAGCTGCTGGTGGGAGGGAGGGCCCCAATTCACCTGTGTGGAGGAGAAGGGGCCTGGCCTGGTCCCATATGGCTGTGCAGGGAGAGGGGAATTTGGCAGCAGGGGAGTGCGGTTGTACAGTATTACTGACCAGTGCTCCCCTGCTGCCAGATTTCCTGAGCCGTGGTGAGCCCTGCAGGCTAGATGCTATGACTGCAGTCTGCATTTGGCCCATGGGTCAGAAGTTGAGCACCCTTGCTTTAGAGCAGTGGTTTTCAACCTCCTTATGACTATGACATCTCTGTCCATAACTTTTTTCTGAATTTAGAGACAGGCCATTAAAAAAGGGAGTGAAACTAACTTTTGCACTACAAAAAAACAACAGAGCAATTCTCGAGTTGCAGTGAACTGGAAAAGACCACAACAGTTTACAAAGCTTTTGAAACAATGGATTTCTATTTGAAATCTCTTGATTCATCTTGTGAATCATGTATAGGTATTTGCATGCTTAACAGTGCTTATATTTGTGCGGGCCGGGAGCAACCCGAGCCCTTTTCCGCGCTGCACGCGGGCTGTGGCCAGCAGCCCGGGCACGCCGGGTTGGAGAGGGAAGGCCATCGAGCTGGAATTAGGCACAGACGCGTAGCGGTAGTGTTAAAGATTGTTTACTTACACTGAGATGGCAGTGGTGCAGGCTGGAAAACTTGCTTAAGTTGCGGTTACAAACAGGAAAGAAGAGAGGCGGACAAGAGTTCTAGACTCGTGAACTCTAGCCCAATCCGGCTGAAAGCTCTGAACACGCGAGCCTGTCATCTCAACCGAAGAAAATACTCGTCCGAGAGAGCTCTGAATAAACTCACACGAAGTTTGCTAGGCTCCGTGGGTCCTTCTGCTCACTCATTCACACGAAGTTTGCTAGGCTTCGTGGGTCCAGTTCTTTTGCACGCGGGAAGGGATACGTCTGGACTGCGCTCGGCGACAGGGAGAGGCTCAAGGGTGGTCTCCTCCTCCCTTGTTCGTGGAGTCCTCCAACTTGGGCGGAAACCACTCAAGCCTTTTATACGGCTAGCAAGCCAATCACTAGCTGCCACGTGTGAATAATTTAGAACTGGCCAACAATGGGACTCGAATTAGCATACAAATGGCGGGAACTCTTTGCAACGAGCATTTCTGTGCTGCAACAAAGAAATGCACCCTGCAAAGAAAGCTTCAAAATTGGCGGGAAATTCTCCCTTGCACCGGGGTTCTCTTTTGCAGCAGAAAACTCCAGCGTGCAAGGAAGCTGTAATTTAGCGGGGACAATTTAGCAGTGCCGAAGCACACAAAAACAAAAATCGCACCCTTTGGGTTGTGACGATATTGTGGCAACCTAGGGCACCCTTAAGGCTCTCGTGCCACCTTAGGGCGCTGTGACACCATGATTGACTGCTTTAGAGCAGGGGTGCTCAACTTCTGACCCATGCACCAGATCTAGCCCCCAAGGTTATGTCATCCAGCCTGTAGAGCACCCCTGAATCTCGGGGGAGCTTGGTGAGTTGTGACCCTGCGTATTGGATCGGGTACACCTAGTGGCACAAGGCCCAATCTCAGTGGGCGGGCCTGCACCATTCATCTGGTTTGTGGGGCCAAAACCTTGAGCACCACTGTCTTGGAGAAAATAATAGGGTCAGGCAGGGGAAAGGTGACAAGCTAGAGAACAGGGTAAAAGCGGCATCAGCAAATATCCGTGAAACCCACTGACAAAACGCATCTGTTTCTTCCTACTGCTACCCAATAAAGAATGGCAGCCTACAGTTAGTCTGGACCATGGATATAAAGCAAGGGTGTCAAAGATCTGGGTTACAGAGCCCTACCATCTGGCCCACAGTACTGCCTGTAGGTCTTAGACTGGACCAGACCATGCACTGCATGCAGTGCCCATGCTGAGCCAGCCCTATATGCTGGATCCCACAGGCTGGACCCAATGTACAGAGTTAGTATCCAAACTAGCCCTGTGTGCTGGGCCCAGCATGAAGAACTAGTCCAGCATATTGCATATGCAGCACATGGGGAGGGAGCTGGACCATACTGCATGCACATCTGCACACTGAACATGTGCTGCTTCTGGCATGCAAGCCTGGTCTGTAGGCCTGATCTAGTCCTGTACCCCTCCTACAGCCTGTTGGTCTGCATGAGTTTGATAACCCTGATCTAAAGGTTCCCACTGTACTGATGAGGGGTTAAAATAGTTCTGCATGACTAAATGCTTTTTATTCTTGTTACAGGGGTGTAGGTTTGTAGCCGTGTTGGTCTAAGGACATAAGCAAACAAGGTTTCTTCAGATGAATCTGATATCTTTTACTAGACCAACTTAAGACCAGGCCTAGGGTCAGTGAAAATCTAGTCACAGAACTTCTGGAGGGACTGGACTTATTTAAATCAGCTGGTCCTGACAATCTCCACCCCAAAGTGCTGAGGGAATTAGCAGAGGTCATTGCGGGACCCCTGGCACAGCTTTACGAGCACTCATGGTGCTCTGGCGTGGTGCCAGAGGACTGGAAAAGGACCAACGTGGTTAGCAATTTCAAAAAAGGGAGGAAGGAGGACCCAGGAAACTATAGGCCTGTTAGTCTTGCCTCGATCCTAGATAAGCTTTTTGAGAGAGTTATCCTGGAGCATGTCCACAAGGAGCCAGCAGGGGAGATTATGCTTAGGGGCAACCAACATGGGTTCATTAGAGGCAGGTCCTGTCAGACCAACCTGGTGGCCTTCTTTGACCAGGTCACAAAATCCTTAGACACAGGGGTAGCAGTGGGCGTAGTCTTTCTGGACTTCAGGAAGGCCTTCGACACTGTCTCTCACCCCATCCTCAGTAAAAAACTAGGGGACTGTGGCGTCGACACCTACACAGTCAAATGGGTCGCTAGCTGGCTGGAGGGCCGCACCCAGAGTGGTGGTGGACAGGTCATTTTCAACCTGGAGGGATGTGGCAGTGGGGTCCCCCAGTGCTCAGTCCTTGGACCCGCGCTGTTCAACATCTTCATCAGTGACTTGGACAAGGGGGTAAAGAGCACCCTGTTCAAATTTGCTGACAACACTAAAATGTGGGGGATGTGGGCACGCTAGAAGGGAGGAATAGGTTGCAATCGGACCTAGACAGGTTACAGGGGTGGGCAGATGAGAACAGGATGGGTTTCAACACTGACAAGTGCAAGGTGCTACACTTGGGGAGGAAGATCCAGCAGCATACCTACAGGCTGGGGAACTCCCTTCTTGTCAGTGCAGAGGCAGAAAAGGATCTTGGAATCATTATTGACGCACTTCAGGAGGGATGTGGACAACTTGGAGCAGGTCCAGAGGAGGGCCACTCGCATGATCAGGGGCCAGCAGGGCAGGCCCTACAAGGAGAGGCTACAGGACCTGAACCTGTTCAGCCTCCACAAGAGAAGGCTGAGGGGGGATCTAGTGGCCTGTTACAAACTAGTCAGAGGGGACCAGCAGGCATTGGGGGAGTCCCTGTTCCCCCGAGCACTACCAGGAGCAACTAGAAATAACGGTCACAAGCTGGCAGAAGGTAGATTCAGGCTAGACATCAGGAGGCGCTACTTCACAGTCAGGGCAGCTAGGACCTGGAATCAACTTACAAGCGAAGTGGTGTTGGCTCCTACCCTGGGGGTTTTTAAGAGGAGGCTAGACGAACACCTTGCTGGGGTCGTTTGACCCCAGTACTTTTTCCTGCCATGGATCATCACTTGATGATCTGCTCAGGTCCTTTCCAACCCTACCAACTATGAAACTATGAAATAGTTGGAAAAAAAATTTTAAGCAAGCTTTCGGGTTTAAAAACCCTTCATCAGGCTGAGCAAGTTTCTGTAGAACTTCTGTAGAAACTTCCTCAGCCTGACAAAGGGTTTTTAAACCCGAAAGCTTGCTTAAAAATTTTTTTTCCAACTATTTAACTTGGTCTAATAAAAGTTTTCAGATTCACCCAAAGAACCCTGTCTGCCTTTTATTCTTGTTTGCTTTTTTAAAAACCTAGAAAATTTTCAATTTTATTTATTTTTGGTATTTGTAGAGGGACTTCTATAAAAACCAGGGCTCTTAAACAACAACTCCTTTCACTATACAACCACAACTAATTTCTAAGGCAACATCCATATCTCAGGATGCAAGGGTGTCCAGGGAGAAAAGTGCATGCCTGTTGACTTTAATACATTAAAGGCAACATTAAGCCTAGAATTTTCCAATGTTAAGCACTGAAAATTCATTCAAGTGTGTGTGGGAGGAGTGTGGGTTGTAGCCGTGTTGGTCTAAGGTGGGAAGAGTATGCACATGTGTGCATTGAATGCCTTGAGATCACAAGATCCCCTTTTAATTTGGCTATCAAAGAATTAAAAGTAGCAAAATTCAATGTAAAGTAAATTTTAAAAGAAAGCATGTACCTGTGTGTGTTATCTCTGTATAGCAGCTGACAATCTTGCTTGTTCCAAATCCATGTTTATTGTATTTATTATGTTTGTTGTATTTCTCTACTTTTATTAAAGTAAGTTAATTGTATCAAGACATCATTAGTACTAACATGCAATAAAATAGGCTGGCACAGCTAAGTGTTTTGGACACCCAGTTGACTGGTTAAGACTTAATGAAAGACCGCCGTTAATATAGTAAAAGATTATGGACATGCACCACATTTTTGGTATCTTCATAATAGATCTAGCATCTCCTTCCCCATACCCTGACATAGCAGTTCTTTTGGTGGATTTGGGGAATTATTGTCCTAGTATCATATTTGTGTGCAACAGCAAAGTAACACACATAAAATCACTTGTATAGATCTAGTCGGGGCCTGAAATGAAAAATACTGGTAAAAGGAAATGGAAATGAGGTTTCACAATCCAGACCCTTTCTTTCTCCCCAGAAACTATATAAAAATTCTTAAAATAAAAGCTCTAGTAAAGATAAGGTTATAGCCATATTGGTCTAGAGGAAAAAGCAATTGGGACTCGTGGCAGAGGTGATATGTTTTATTAGACCAATTAGATTTTTGAAAAAAAAAAATTTTAATTGCAAACTTTAGGGCACAAACACCTTTCATCAGGTATTGGAGAAAAGATTGTAAAAGTTCTCCATAGTAAAGATAACAAATAGATGGTAAAACTACTATGAAGTAAATAGTTCCTAGCCTAAGATTGTGTGTGTGGGGTTTATAACATCACATTTAGTGTTAAGACACACATTTTCTTGAAAATGAATTTCGTAACGTTATTTAATTCCTTTGTACAGTTTAAAATATCCAAGGGAAAATCTAGGGGTTGCCTCTTTATTTAAAAACCCTCCATTTTAGGACCTAGGTTAACAGATCTAGTCATACTGTCAGAGCTAGTACTGAAGATGATTGTGGAAAGATCAGTTGCATCTCTTTCCCCTCCCATGTGTTAGTTCTGATCCTGCTGCTGGCTTGTCATGGTCTCTTTAGGGAGGCTTTTCTCACCCAAAAAAATAGCCAGATAATGGCACAAGTCTTCAGTATCCATTTCAGAAACAGAGGATACTATGAACATGGCAATTTTATGGGAGACTTGGACACATACCAATCAACAATTAAAACTTGCATTTGAAATTTCATCTAGCAGCTGAATGTGCTACAAGCATATGGAGCAAGTAGAGCAGAAACTGATGCTGTATCTATACCAAAAAAGGTCTGCAGTATTTCAGCAAACAGTGCAGGTGTAGCTTAAACCTAGTAAGCTATATCACTCGATCTCTTTTACTCAGGGAGCTGGAATTAGCAAGTTAAACTGTACAGAGGTTTCTTCCTATATAACTGCTTCAGCCCTAGGTCTCTCCCCTGCAGAGTGTCAAAAGCATTTTTTTTCTCTTCTACAATGCTCCTGAGAATAGCTGTGTTGGTAAAATTTCTTGAGTGTAAGCCTGGCTTGAATGTTATCATTTGTCAGCATCCTTTAATAGAAAATGGAGATGCCGAGTACTGTGAAAGTAAACCCACAAAGGAAACAAGTTCTTAAGCAATAAACCGAATTTTTAGAGAATGAAGCAAGTGCTGTGAACGTGAGGGCTGATGACGTATCTACCGTAACTATCAAAATGCCTGGAAAAACCAAACCACTTTATATTGAACAGACTTGTGGGATGTCAAGAGGGAGGCACGCTGGGCTGGGATAGCAAAACCATCTAGTACTCATCTTTCTGCCCGCAAATGGAGACGAAGTAGCCTGCTAGTGCTAGGCGGTCCTGACTTCACTCTCACGATTACAGCTGTGGTCGAGTGAGGCCCTAGCAGCACCAGGCGAGTCGCGCTATAAAGGGCACGCGCGCTCAGCGAGCGCACCCGAAGAGGAAGACGCTCTACGCCACGCGCCTGCACCCTGACAAGCCTCGGGATTCTCCCACTTCGGTCCGGCGTCGGAGCCAGCGGCGAGGCGCACGCCCAATAAGGCATCTTCCGGCCGCTGCCTGTCAGCAGCGCCCTCCGCCCCACCCCTCTCCTCCCTCGCATGCGCTCTCCGACACCGACTGGTGCACGCGCTCTCCGTCCCTTCGGGCATCCGGAAGCGGGCGGGCCGTTGGGCGGCGCATGCGCCACGCGCTCTTGACGCAACTCCCCTGCGCGTGCGCTGAGTCCGCCAGTTCCTCCGCGTCGCACGTGGCCTGTCACCCGCTCTCGCGCGGCGCATGCGCAACTGCTCACTTCCCCCTGCCTCCCCCCGCCCCGATCTCGGCACACGCCTCCTTCCTGTGACCAGGCCCTTCCTGGCGCGCATGCGCCCTTGCCCTCCTTCCCTCTCCCTTCCCCTCTCAACGAGCTCGGACGCCGTACGCACCTCCCTCCCACTCCCCGCGCCTGCGCGGTACGCACTGTCGGTGCGTGGC